GTCAGCGAGTATGTTCAAGACATATTTACGTTGGTTGATAATAATGCCTCGAGGAGAACGAGCGACTTTGATGCCCACAAAATATTTCAGGGGACCCAAGTCCTTGATTATGAATCGATCATGGAGAAACTTCTTGACCTGCTGGATAAAGGGAAGATCATCACCGGCCAAAATAACGTCGTCGACATAGATAAAAGCAACCACAAAAGACCGAGTGGTGCGCTAGAAGAAGAGAGAGTAATCGACATGACTCTGCCGAAAACCAAACTCCACGAGAGTTGCAGAATATTTTTTATACCAATTGCGAGAAGCCTATTTCAGTCCATAAAATGGATTTAGGAAGAAGACAAACCCGATCATCGCCAGTATTCTGAAAATCTTGAGTGATATGATCCCAAATTGCCAACCATTCACGTTTAAATTACTTGACGAAGAAGCTATCGAAGTTGGAAAGAAGAAGGGCAGAATTTGGCTAAGTCAAAATCCGTGTTCAGGGTACATACTTTGGAGGCATGGTTCTCTCAATTGGCTTGGTAGAAATTCAATTTTAAGAGTTTGTTTTGCAGATAAAGTTACCATCTTTCCAATGGTATGCTTTGTGGATCCAGATGATGTCATTAAGGTTGTTTGCCAATGCCACAAAGTTGCTACCTCAAAACTGGAAAACTGCCAGAAAATGGTTAAGTCTGGAAACTGGTTTGTGAAGCCTACTTTGGAGCTCAGTTCAAGGAGTATGGATCTGATTCGAGACCAAAGGCTTCTACAACATCAAACTAGGTATGTTTGTGAACAAAGGGAAGGAATTGGATGAAGAATTGGAGTTCGGGAAGGCCTCGAACGAAGGCGTGAAGTTAGTACGAAATCTGCCTTTTGACTGTTTGCTGGCAGCTTACTTGCACTTGAAGAAAGAGAGTTTAAATCCGAATTTTGAGTCCTTTTTATAGTAGATTTTTACCTTAATTGTTTCCTAGTTCTATTAGGTTTGTATTAGGTTTATTTGCCTTTAAATACCTTTCTACTTTCGTTGTAAAACTCAGACTTTGATTAATCGAAAAACAAACCTTTGGTTTTGTGCAAGTTGCGACTTGTTTGAGTTTGGTGGATTCCAAGCTTGTGAGCTTCGTATCGATTGAATATCCTCTTCAATCGTGGTCGAGCAGCTACCCTTTTATACCATACGAGCTTTCCCCAGGTGTGGAATTGTCCGTTGGTTCCGTTTTATCCCAATTTCGTATTAAGAGCGCTTCGTTCTTGATTCGAGCTCAATCGATTCTTCGATTGAGTCGTTAGCTGCGTGACTTTGATAAACATACACCCCCCAGGGGCGTATCAAGTGGTATCAGAGCCCCGTTCTACACAAGGGCGAAGGAGAAGAAGAACCTGCTGTTTCGTATAAGCAGTTTTATCGAGTGCCAAAACAGGGCAGCCCCTGTTTGTACTTTGCAGCTGCTGTTTGTGTTTGAATTTTTCGGTTCTACACCAAGAGATGGTGGATAGCAGTGTAGAGGCAAGGAAGATGCAAATTCGTGTCCAAGAGGAGCAGCCAGCAGTCGTTTTTAAGCATCGAGAATCCGATGAGCAGCGTGATAATCTATTTCACAGCCGATGCTTTGTCGAAGGCAAGTTATTATCGTTCGTGATCAATGGAGGTTGCTGCTCAAACATCATCAGCCTATACGCCGTTCAAAAGCTTGGATTGACGACACAAAGGCATCCCGCGCCTTACCAACTCAATTGGATCAACGAGCACGGAACAATTAATGTGACGAAGCAAGCGGTGGTTCGATTTCATATCGGCAGTTATGAAGACGAGGTAACTTGTGACGTTGTGCCGATGAATTGTGTTCATATGATGTTGGGAAGACCATGGCAATATGATCGCGAAGTGTCTCATGATTGTCGAACCAATCGGTACAAATTCAAACATAATGGTAAGAAGATAGCGTTGAAACCTCTATCTCCGGATGAAGTTTTCGCCGATTTGAAGCAGATGGAGGCGAATCAAAATGGGGGAAAGGAGCCTCGAGCTCAGTTTTGGGTTCAACGTCGAATTGGCTTCAATTTCCTAAGCTTTCAAAAGCTCCAGAAGGAGGTTCCAGAACCGCCACCAGCAGCTTGCAATTACCCCTGTTTTGCGACGGAAAAACAGAGTTCAAACTCTGTGAGTTCTGCCGGCGGCGAGGGAGGAACACCAGAGCACGCCGCCGCGTTCAAAACGATCTTAGAGAGTGAAGGGAGGCCGGAGAACCGAGGAGGACGTCCGGAGCAGGCTTCCGACGGACGACTCAGTCCGGTGACGCGAGCAGCAGATTCTCGAGTCCGTCCGACGAAACAGGGCAGGAGAGAGACTAAATTGGTCGGAGTTGTAGGGACGAAGTCGACATCAACCACTGGTGTCAAAACGATCCTCACGACCCCAAAAACGTTGGAAGATGCTTCATTGGAGATTTCCGTACCAGAATTTGGATAATCCACTCACACGAAAATGCCTCTGTTCTTGAAGAACACTGCCGACGAGGACCCTCTCTTGGGTGGAGCAATCCAGATCGATTCGAGCAAATCCAACGCTGTAGAATCATCATATGAGGTAAGAGGAACGATAAAAAGCATTCAATTTGTCCCGACGAAGTCTGAATCCAAAACACCCAATTTGCAATTGGAAAATCTGGGTTTCGAAAATTTGAAAAGGGTTGGCGAGTTTGGAGACAATTCGATCCAAACGGCTGTTGTGGGATCATTCGGAGACGTTCTTGGAAGCTGCTGGAGCGATCAATTTGCTTCGAAGATGCAGGATTTCAAAACCCCCAATTTCAAGTTGGATGATCTGCACTCACGGAATTTGAAAACTAACGACGGCGGGAATAACGAAAATGATGATTCGTCGTATTCTAGGGATATTGAAGACTTGGAATTGATCGAGACGCGTAGTACGATGAAGGAGAAAGAAGATTCGATCAGCAGATTGAAGAATGGCGGCTCGAATCCTTGGCATTCAACTTTCGCCGACTTCCCCGAGTTCGTCGCAAAATTGGGTAGTATGGTGAAGGTTCTGACTGCGTTTCCAAGGCTGATCATCATTGATATTGATCAGGGACGTGAATTGAAGGCTCTGTATGCTGTAGTTCTCACGAAATCGTCCATGATTAACAACAAAGCAGGAAGCAGTGAGCAGTTGAAAGCCATTGTGGGATGTTTGGGATCCGATTTGGTTGACCCCTTTTGGGTACCATTTGATCGTTTTTTGTCTTACAGAATCATACCAGCTTTAAGGACAAAGCTTTTTGAAGAGGGGGAGCCTGATATGATCCCAAATTGCCAAGCATTCACGTTTAAATTACTTGACGAAGAAGCTATCGAAGTTGGAAAGAAGAAGGGCAGAATTTGGCTAAGTCAAAATCCGTGTTCAGGGTACATACTTTGGAGGCATGGTTCTCTCAATTGGCTTGGTAGAAATTCCATTTTAAGAATTTGTTTTGCAAATAAAGTTACCATCTTTCCAATGGTATGCTTTGTGGATCCAGATGATGTCATTAAGGTTGTTTGCCAATGCCACAAAGTTGCTACCTCAAAACTGGAAAACTGCCAGAAAATGGTAAGTCTGGAAACTGTTTTGTGAAGCCTACTTTGGAGCTCAGTTCAAGGAGCATGGATCTGATTCGAGACCAAAGGCTTCTACAACATCAAACTAGGTATGTTTGTGAACAAAGGGAAGGAATTGGATGAAGAATTAGAGTTCGGGAAGGCCTCGAACGAAAGGCGTGAAGTTAGTACGAAATCTGCCTTTTGACTGTTTGCTGGCAGCTTACTTGCACTTGAAGAAAGAGAGTTTAAATCCGAATTTTGAGTCCTTTTTATAGTAGATTTTTACCTTAATTGTTTCCTAGTTCTATTAGGTTTGTATTAGGTTTATTTGCCTTTAAATACCTTTCTACTTTCGTTGTAAAACTCAGACTTTGATTAATCGAAAAACAAACCTTTGGTTTTGTGCAAGTTGCGACTTGTTTGAGTTTGGTGGATTCCAAGCTTGTGAGCTTCGTATCGATTGAATATCCTCTTCAATCGTGGTCGAGCAGCTACCCTTTTATACCATACGAGCTTTCCCCAGGTGTGGAAGTGTCCGTTGGTTCCGTTTTATCCCAATTTCGTATTAAGAGCGCTTCGTTCTTGATTCGAGTTCAATCAATCTTTGGATTGATTGTTTGCTGCGTTACTTTGATAAAAATACACCCCCCAGGGTCGTATCATTGAGGCACCTTCATATAGACTTCTTCATGAAGATCTCCGTAAAGAAAAGCATTATTAACGTCATGTTTGTGAATGAACCAACCTCGTGACACAGCAACTGCAAGAAGGCAACGAATTGTGACAAGCTTTGCAACAGGAGCATACTTGTCATGGTAGTCAATCCCTTTAACCTGAGTGAAACTTTTGGCAACAAGCCATGCCTTATATTACTGACTCACACGAAACTATACCACAAATTAATCCCGACTAGAGCCCAAGTTTTTAAACTCTAGTTGGGTGCAGTATAGAGCAAGTATTTAAATTGTCAAACCGGGCCGATCCATGTACCCCTACTTCAATCGCTTAGGTTGTTATCTAGCAAGCAACTTTTGGATTTATAACTAATGGAACTACAAACTAAACTGGCAAGGAAAAGTAAATAAAGAAAAAGTCTAACTAGGAGGCATCAATTCACTAGAGATCGATTTGTCACGAGATCGATCTACTCACCAAGTCTAGGGGAACCGCTAGGAGGAGAAACTAGCGATCCATTTGTCACGGGATGGATTCACTAGGGATCGATTTGTCACGGGATCGATCCTCTCACTCAGGCTCTAGTGGTTGCCTAGGTCTCTCCCTCAAACCGAAGTTTGAGGCGGCTTAATCACAACCATCCTAGATGCAAACTGGTAACCGCGTACAACAGAGGGATGCATATGTGGTCGGAGACCACAATCTCAATTGCTAAACCAATGTAAGCTTGAAAGGTTGTGTCAATCGACCATCTAGCTTTATACAATCGGTAGTTGGCTTACTCCCTCACTAACTCAAGGTTGGACGGCTTAATCACGCTTAACCAATTTGCTTAATTCAACATTGAGGTTTGCCCTAAATTAACCTAGATTAAAGTGGCTAATTAGATTGCTAGTACCAACATGCACAAACCTAAGGGTGCTAAGCACAAATATGCACAATCATTAGGTTGCTAAGCACAACAATGCACAAGCCTAAGGATACTAAGCACAAAACATGCACAACCCTTAGATTGCTAAGCATGAGTATGCACAATCGACATGAATAATACCTTGATACTTGAATTAAAAACTACCCAATGACAATCTTTCAATCTAAACAAGTAATTACAAAGTATTAGTTAGGGATCTACAACACCCAAGAGAAAAGAGTGAGTTTCTAGAGAGAGAGAGAGAGAGAGAGGGATTACAAATTTGAGCTCAAGATCTTCTTCTTCTTTTAGGCTTGAATATTCCACCCAAGCATCCAATGATGCTCCAAGATCACTCTAGCACTCTCTCTCTCTCTCTCTCTCTCAATAGAACTCCCCTTTGGTGTTTTAGGTTGAAACCCTAGAGAAAAAAGTGTTTCTTCTCCAAAAACCAGCTCTCTTTCTCTCTCCCCGCTGATGTCTTCATATTTGCCCGAAAGTGACCAATTCACGGACGCGATGCCAGTTCACGGTCGTGAACACCTAAATGCGTCTGTGAACTCAGCGTCGTCCAAAACGCGTCTCTTCACTCGCCTGGGTTCACGGTTAATGGCCCCAGTTCAAAACGTGCCTCTTCACTGCCTTGTCGCCAGTAACTTCATGAACCTTGCTAGACTGCTCGATGTTCACGGTTTGTGGTCCAAGTTCACGGTCTTAGGAGACTGTGAACTACCTTGTCCGGCTGTGAACTGTGGTTGTTTCTTGGGATGCCTTCACTTCACTACTATGGGCTTTTCTTCGGTTTTTTGCGCTTTTTGACCTCCAAATATCCCAAAACTCATCCTCGACCCTTCCACACGTTCTAGGACCTGAAATGTATCAAAACAAGCACAACCTAGCATGAAATATGTTGAGGAACGATGAAATACTAAGCTAAACAAATAAGAAATGAGGGGTAAAATGTGTGAATTTGAGCCCGAATCAATTACTCGACAGAAGCATCGGGGTTGAACTTGATTTTGTAAACCCACTTGCAATCAATGGCTCGTTTACCGGGAGGAAGATAAACAAGTTCCAAAGTACCATTAGAGACCAGGGCCGAGATCTCGGCTTGCATGGCTAACCAACAATGAAAGTATCGAACCGCCTGCTGATAGTACCTAGGTTCCAGATGATGAGTGATGTTAGCCACGAACGCGCGATGAGGAGTAGAGAGGCGATGATAGCTAACATGATGATCCATTGGATAGATAACCGAATATTCTTGAGAATAGCCAAGTAGTTCGACGTCATAAACATCAACTAGGTGTTTGGGAGGATGACGGTCGCGGTACCCACGATGAGGTTCAGAAACTGTGTTGGAAATTGGTGCTGATTTCATGGTCGGAGGAGGAGAAGAAGCACGGAGGGCGTTGCGGAAGTGCTCGACGAGGGAATTGTCGCTGGATCAGGGATGGGAGAAGATGAGGTGAGCTCGGGAGGAAGAGTTTGAGGAGGCAGTAGGGGATCATCGTCATCAATGATCTGCGTAGGGAAGCCATCTCCTAGAGGTGGGTCTGCATGATCATGCAGCGTGAATGAACCATAACTACCATTTAAACCCTTGTCCTTGTATGCCAGAACAACCTCAAAGAACTGAATGTCACGCGAAGTGTAGATAATGTGAGTCTCTAGGTCGAATACACAATATTCGGGCTGCGTGGCTGGGTCCCGTAAGTGATCATACTTAGGGTTGGTACCGAAGAGAACCTGATAGGGGCTTCTGTTTTCCAGTGGAGCAAGCAGCATACGATTAATCAAGTATGCAGTAGTTAAGACGCACTCTCCCCAGAAAGAAAGAGGCAAGCCCGCATGAACACGCAAGGCTCCTACAGTTTTGAGTAGGTGGCGATGTTTTCTTTCCACGACGCCATTCTGTTTTAGGTGTCTCAGGACAAGAAGTTTGTAAGATGATTCCTTCGTGCGCATAGTACTCACGCAGCTCAGAGTTGGAGAACTCGCGGCTATTATGTGCTTGGATGCGACAAACAACCTTGTCATACTGTGTACAGACTTGATTACAGAGTAAGAGTATATATTTGGCCACTTTTGACTTGTGTTTTAACATAAATACCCAGACAGCTCTACTGAAGTCATCAACAATCGTGAGAAAATAGTGAGCACCAGTAGACGATGCTTCATGATAACCGCCCCAAATATCAATGTGAATAATCTCAAAACAATCCTTAGTGTTGATCGAACTATGACTAAAAGAAAGTCTAGTCTATTTTGCTCGTAAACATGAATCACAAAAGTCATTATGGAGAGCCTAGTATGCCAAAGCTCCGAGCCGCCGAGTGCCTTCCTAGATGCCAATGCCACCAAATGACTCCCATAAAAAACTCGCAACTGATATAGACCATCAAGATGTGTACCCTTCCCAGTCATCCTCTTCGAGTGCAAGTCGTGTATAACACAGAAATTGCTTAAGAATATAATGACAACCGAATGATCTGCAGTGAGCCGACTAACGGATAAGAGATTACACTGAAATTCTGGAACGTGTAATACACGACAAAGAACCAAGCCATTAGACAAACAATGAATTATTATTAATAATATGATCATTACAGCCTGAATAAATATTACAAGTGTCAGCTTGAGGAAAGATATTACCTATCATATTGACGACCATTCCATATGTGGGCTTTGAGTCGGGATTGAGGAAGGCACGCAGCTGAGCAACCTGCGCCGCTATAAGACCAGGGACGGCTCCAAGATCACTCTCCATAGCTGCTGCTTTAGGATCAGCACGCTACTTTCGTCCATTACTAGGAAGTCGACGCTGAGGATGGTCGCCCCTTCCAACCTGGTCACCACGTCCATCTTGCTGACTCCTTCCAGTTTGCTTGGAGGGCCACCCGTTCAGTTCATAACATGTCTCTTTGAAATGACCTGGTTTCTGGCAATGTACGCAGAATGGGCGCTTTTGTCATGACCAGCGGTGACCTCACCTCGGCCTTGAAATGCAGCAGCCTCTATACGGGGACTGGAGTCAGACAAGCTGCGTTGCTTCTCTTCGTTTGCGACCATATGATAAGCCTCTCCAAGGCTTGGCGTAGGCTTTAAGAAAGAAGTTGAGTACAAACAACCGAGAAGCTCTCATCCATCCCGATGAGGAAGTCTAGCTGATGCATATCATCATGAGAGGCACGTGTGCGGCGCTCAACGTCACATTCGCATTTACCACACATACACTTGGCAGGGGGATCTAGGGTGAGCCAATCATCCCACATCCGCTTGATTTTTGCATAAAAACTAGCAACACTTGACTTTTCCTGGCACAAGCCGTGATCTCGCGACGGAGTTTGTAGCGTCGAGAGAGATTTCCGGTGGTGAACCGCTCCTTGAGCTCTTCCCAAATTTCTTTCACGGTGATACACGTACTAATACCAATCCTGATGTCCTTGCTCATCGTCGTACGCAGCCAACCGACAACGTCCTTGTTACAACAAACCCATGCATCAAGCTGAAAACTATTGCTAGGACGTGATATGCCGCCAGTCACAAACCCTAGCTTATTCTTGGCAATCGGTGAGTTTTAATCTCGGCTTCCCACTCCGCATAGTTCATGTCAGTAAGGACTTCGCTCACGAACATGAGGTTAGGGTCATTACAAGAAAATGTATCTTTAGTCACCGGTTCATTTTGTCACGAGTGTACTCCCATGATTAAAAAACAAATATTTATCACGGTGAGATTTTACTGTGGCCGTTAATTGTTAAGCTGAAATGAGTGCATCTTCCCCGTGACCATTTGTGGGCGGGAAGCTGAAAATTTTTAGTTGACGCCTTGGCGTTGGCGATATCCCCAAAAATTTTGGCTCCCCAAATATTTCAAGTGACCCACCCACCCGCCCGCCTTCACTTTTCACTTTACCAATTTTCCAGCTGGGCTCGACTCTCCCCACACCATCTGAGAAGAACAAAACCTAGAAATGTCCCAAGGCTCTCTCCTCCGCCATTTGATCGAAAGGTTACGCCTCTGCTTCCGCTGCAACGAACACCCTCCCAAACTCACTCCCGTTGTCTCCATCTTTGATTTCCCAACTCTATCTGCAGATGTCACCCAAATCCCTCTTAATACCATCAATCACTATCGGCCAGCATATCCAATTCATTGATCCCGTCAATCTCACCATGATTCACCAACTTTCTCGCCTCATATTGATTATCATTTCCCCTTGCACAGCGATAACTCCCGGACTTCGACTTTGTCACCCTTCACTTGTCCATTGAGTAAGTTTCCCAGTCTCGCCCCACGATTGACCTTTGTCATCGCCTTCGGTTTAATTGTTTTTTTTATCTCCTTGTCTTTCTCATCATCGATCCGATCCCCATTGCTAGATCCCTTATCCAATGACTCATTGTTACTAATACCTTTAATCCTCGGCATCCAGTCGGCTTCATTCTTTGAGCTTTGTTTCTCCTCATATTTTGTTCTTTGACGAAACCCTTAGCTATTCTTTTGATTGACAGGAAAGAGATATCACGACCACATCAGATTGATACCAGATCCTACATCTACATCCATGCAACCTGAGGGCTGAGGCTACACCGCTAGGTCTGATTTAGATGAGCCATGCCATCCTTGGCTCCCCCACTCTTAGAAAATGGTTTTGTTGTTGATGATGTTTCAACTCATTTGCTTTTGGTATCGTTCCTTGTGGTCTTCAATCACTTCAAATGCTACTATAAGTTTCTTTTATAGTTTATATTAAGTACTTACTTTTGTTGAGGGCTCCAGTAAAGGAAGCAGGGGACTAATCCAAGCGCCTATAGAAAGAAGGCTAGTATGCTTATCAAACAGATATAAAACAATCAATTTGGTCCATTGTCATGTATATATAAGATAGTTTTCATACATGAATGATCATGGCCTTTCATTTGACTTGTTTTTTTTTTTTTTTTTTTTTTTTTTTTTGTAGTGTGCTGCAACTGCAGAGTTATTCTATGGCTTCTCCGAGAGTGGCAATAGAGGTATCGGTTGTGTTTGGCCTGGTGTAATATGTTCTGTATTTTTTCTCCTGTTCTGTTATGTTGTGTCTATGTTGAATCTTGATACCATGAGTCTGGTACATGAAGCAAGACTGTAGTTTTCTTGTTCGCAATAAGAATGCAGTTTGCTTGTTTGCAATAAGAATGCAAATAAGAATGCAATTTGTTATAAGAATTTAATAAGAATGCAGTTTGCTTGTTGAGAAATTTACTTGCCATTGGTCTTTTGTATTCCGCTTCATCTATGGTTTACTCAGGCAGCATTTAAAATCACGTGTTTAAATTTAGCTTAATTCTATCCTAATTGTAACTTGTCTGCTAATTGGTAGCAACTAGATAGTAGCTCCATATGGGTTTCAAGCAGTCTAGTCCAGTTTAGAGCAGTCCGTGCAGGATTTGTATTATGTCTTTTGATGCTGGTTTGTATCAAAGCTCCAGCAGAAGAAGTTGGGTAGAGCTCCAGATGTAACAAAGTTCTAGGCAAGTAGAGCTCTAACCGCAATGATAGGACATATGAGTTCTTGTACATCATTTGATGCTGCTTTTTTGTAGGTATTTATGGTTTTTTGGTGTTTATTATCATGCTTATGTTTTGACTTCTTTAATTTGTTTGTGATGTTCATTTTAGGAGCATCTTCAAGTGTGGCGAATCCACATTAATGATCTCAGCAAAGAAAATTATTAGGGATACTCAACCCAAATGCTCTAAATGTTTGTCGAATAATGATACTGATGAAATATGTCCTCTTATGCTTAGTTGGATTGGTATCCATGCCATTTTTTTTCAAAGTGATTTTGTGCAGCAAGTAGTGGAGAAATTGCTTGTGACAACAAGTAAGTCGTATGCCCCAAGCAAAGGGTGGTCTGACGAAATTGCAGAGGCAGTCCGAAGGGTCTTTAAGTAGTGCAGTTTGCAGGCTGAGGAGTTGGTGGAAAGAATGAAATAGTGCTTGACTTGAAGGCCTGAGCTGTCCTCAATTTGAAGCAGAGCTTGTAGCAGGGAATGCCAAGGCTAGAGGCACTTGTAACTAAGGATTTGTTTACAAGAAGTATGCAGAAGTTGTATGTACTGCAGTTAGTAGATAGTGACAGTTTTTACAAAGAGTCGTATTGATCGAATTTATTAAATAAAACCTTTTTTCATTAAAAAAATGTATGTACCACAATGGCATGTTTCTCCGTGACTATTTATTAGTATCCATTACTTGATTTTCCTGTAATTACTAAGGACCAACGATCACGAGATCCCTGTGACCATTGAGACAAAACCCCGTGACAAATAATCCAATAAGTCACAGGAATTCCTGTGACTATTTCATTATTTAGTCACGGTAATGTTCCCGTGTTAAAATGCAAGTCATGGGAATTACTGTGACAAAATAAATCTTCTGTCACGGGGCTTTCCCCGTTATTGTATCTTCCTTGTCACGGGATTTCCCCGTGATATTTGACCTTTGATCACAGGCTCGCTTGACATGGGAATATACCGTGACAAATGCTTTCCGTCATGGGAATTGGCTGTTCTGTCACGGGAAATCCCGTGATCGAAGGTGAATTTTCCTGTATTGGGTGATCTGATGGATGGAGATGGAGAGGATACGTAGCATCGATAACATTGGTGGAAAGAGAGTCGCTACTGCCACTAGAGGTCATGCTCTTGTCTATGTTAGTTTTGTCGCCCATGAGGAGACGTGTAACATCCCATTTCTGCTAAACCCATATTTCGATCGCTAGAAAGTTCGCGATTTAAAATCGAGCGTTTTAATAATATTTCGACAGAAATCAGATTATCGATCGATCGGATAAAAATACATATTAATTATATAACATATATATATATATAATATTACATAAAGCGGACGGGCCGCATATATATAATTCCCCGTCACTTTCATTCCACAATTCTCATCATCATCTTCCATTCTACACTGAGAGAAACCGAGAGCAGAGCCGCGCACAGGGAGCTCGGAGAAAATTTTCATAGCTCGATTCTTGAGCTACAGTGATCCAAAAATCTCGTAAGTAATGCATAATTCATCCATACATCGTGATTTATCGATTTAGAGATTTAAAATGAGTTTTTGGATCAGGAATTTCTTGAATTCCCGATAAGCCAAATTAGGGTTTCGGAGTATCCGAAAGCCGGATTGAGCCCAAATTTCATATAGAGCTTACTGCACCGAGGTAATCAATCCTCTAGTTCTAATCCCTGAATTTCGGCAATTATTTAGGTCGAGGTCCAAACCGCTCAATTTAGCTCCGGCCAGGGTTTGATGTGTTTTTATCAAGAATTTGACCCGGAGCCTAGAACTAATATTGACGGGGACACTGCAGGGGATATTAGGACGGTCTTGGATTTTAATTCGGGGTTCGTTCGTGAAATTGACGTTTTAGTACGGGAAGGTTAAACCGGTGTTTGAACGACCAGAACTGGTGAGGGATTAGCACGGCATACCGGGTTTGTCGTATCACGATAATTATATTGATGCTTAGAATTGATCTAGGTGAACTAGAATGGCATGATTAAGGGTGTATGAACTTTTCTGTTATATGATGAATCATGGACTACTGTATGATATTATTGACTTGCCCTAATCGAGATGGACCTTGTTTATGCCGATGATTTCGTATATGTTGCAAATTGTGGGCTTGACTGTTGATATGCCTTATGATGGTTCGAAAAGGTGTTTGGGTATGATTTTTCATGATTGTTGTATTTGGATGCACATGTGGGAAAATATATATTCCCTGGTGATATTATGACATTTAAGGAGGATGACTGGCACGAGGGTTTATCCCGAGGAAGTGCAATTATACGACTCCTGATTTACCTATGTTGAGTCAATTGTGGCAAGGTCAAGTACATGTGCAAGTAATGAATTATGATTAAGCAAGATGAGATATGAATCATGTACAAGGATACCAAATATGAGTGTTGTGGTCTCACGGTCAACTACATAGTAATTAGGGCTCCCTATGCTATTACTCTATTATGATATGTATGATAGTCACACCTCTCATGTGGTGGTGACTGAAGAATTCTTACGAGATATGACCACACCCAGAGTGGTGTCGGGGTATGACTACACCCATAGTGGTGTGGGGTATGTATGACCACATCCGATGGGATGTTGGGGTATGTATGACTACATCCGACGGGATGTGGGGTATGTTTCCCGGGAGAGTTATTAGCATGGGAGTAGCCAGGCGCCTATAAGTAAAACATAATAAGATGCATATGCATAAGTCAAGGTGGTTGAGTCTTTTGCCTATTGGGATGTCGGAGGGCTGAGATCTGATCCCAGTGCTTTGGCTTGTTTGCTAGATGTATGATGGGGGTATGCTCTGTTATGAACTCACGATGCTATGATTATCTCACTCAGCTATGAGCTGACCCTCTTTTATTCTTCTTCTCTGCTTATGCTATGTGTAAGCAGATCATCAGCAACAGCAGTAGATAGGTGCATAGGTGGGAGCTGAGCAAGAGTTGAAGGCAGGATGAGGTATGGTCTTCAACTATTCTGTGCTTGTACTACTACTCGGGATTTTGGCCAGTGATCCACACCTTTTTGTAAAAGAATGTTTTGAGAACGTTTTTCATGTGCATACTAGCTTCTGATGTAGTGTGAGATATCCACAGGTGTGGAAAGTTGATGATATGTGTATATGTTGTGTAACTGTGTAAGTTGTGACGATTACGGTAGGTATAAGTTTGGTATGCAGTTGTGTAGTATGAAACTGTGACTATGGCTAAGAAAAGCCAATGCATATGGTTGTGAGTATATATGTTTGTGATGAGTTATTTTGCAGGTTTTAGTTACAATAACTGTTAGCCCATTTCGCGAGTAATTCATGTCAAAATTTTATTTAGGTAAATTTTGATAATTAATGTAACACCCGAGATTAATTCCGCTGCAATTGTATGAACAATATGATTAGGTAATACATATAGGGTAGGGTGTTACAAGACGTCACCAACGCAACCCTAGATGGAACACAAATGAGAAAATCTAACCAAGGACCGAGGTTTGCTCTGATACCATAATAAATTCGACAAATAAATAACGAACACACAAGACCAATTTATGTGGTTTCCCCATTCAATGAGCAGGAGACTAGTCCACGGAGAGCATGAGCTCTCAGTTCTTTTTTATTGATGTGAGTTTTAATACAGTAGTCAGCCATAAACAGGAAACAAGGCCTTAAATATGAAAGACTTAAACCTAATACCCTTAGAGACAAGTGTTTCGGGATTAGGAGGAAGGAAATAATAAATGACAAAAACTAACCAGCCGGGTTGGAAACCTGGCCTGACCCAATGATCCGTAATATTTTGCATCCCTGAGAAGTGAAGTAAAGAGGGGAGGAGCGGTGGAAGGATTGTCTAATAGGGCAATTCGTCGGTTCTAATCCGAAGATTGGTCTTCTGTAGTAGTGGGCAACGAGTCTTTGGGAAAGGGATAGCCAGGTGAAGGTTTCTAGATTTGGTCCCAAGCTGTTAGTCATCCAATTCCGGTTGGCCGGTACTAGTAAATGGGTTTTCGTTAGGGGTTGTGGCATTATCAAGGTAACTAGATTTATTTCAGTAAATGGGCTCCTGGTATTTAGCCGGTGGCACCTCTGCTGGAAGTTATACCAATTTGGGTTAGAATTTTGGGTATTCCATTTGAATATCACTCATTTGAAGGCATTGAATGGGTCTCAAGTACAATAGGCCGCTCTGTTTGGATGGATCAGACAACAAGGGTTGGAAATCAACTTGGTTGTGCAAAAGTTTGTGTTGATTTAGCGGCAGATTGTGGGTTTCCGTCTCAAGTTAATTTGTATCCTGATGAGGACCCTTCGTTTGAGATTGAAGTTGAGTACCTGAATAAACCTTTGGTGTGTTCGAAATGTGAGGTGTATGGCCATAATTGTGATAAATTGGTGTCTAGTGGGAAGTAGTGGATTCCTAAGGTCAAGAGTGCTAAGGCGGGTGGTGATAATTGTGAAAGTGTAGAAGGGAAGGCAGTTGAGGAAGGGTATTCTGATATGAATGGGAAGCAAATGATGAGCAGTGAAGAACCAGAAAGTGTTACAGAAAACTCGTGTGCTAATGAGGTGGTTGATAATGTAATGGAGGTTGTTATTGACTGCGTCCCTACGAAAATGGGGGATCAGGTAGTGAGTTTTGCTGAGATAGTTAAAGGGTCGCCAGTTGGAACTGGAAACCCTGAAGCTACTCAACTTGAGGTTGCTGAGGGGCGCTTACCAGATGATGGGAGGTGTTATAACTGCGCTGCTGCAGATCGAGAAATCACCGGAATTGACAAATAAAGAACACAAAAAACATAAAGCAGACGACACACGATTTACGTGGTTCACTAACACAATGCATTTTAGCTAGTCCAGGGGCAGGAGAGCCAGATTCACTATATCGAGGAGATTATAGAGAAGTATGAAAAGTATTTATAGTACTTCTCCTAGGTCTAACCCTAATCTAATCTAATAAAGGAAAAGCGGTTACAACCAGATGCCGAATCCAAATAACAGTGAGACCCCCAATTATTCCACTCGTAGCGGTTGATAGTCCAATTCAAGTCACATCAACAAATCTCCACCTTGACTTGAATCCTCTTCCTCTAAAATATCTTATGTACTCTGCTCTTTCTCTCTCCTGCCATAAAAGCCTCGTAGGGCGGAGTCACCCACTCAAGACAATCAACAAGTCCAAGCAGTGTTGGAGCTTGCCATGTGGAACCGGCTTCATGAACATGTCGGCAGGATTATCCGCGGTGCCAACCTTCTTCACCTTAATCCTCTTCTATGTCCTCAAGAAATGATACCTCACGTCGATGTGCTTAGTCCTCTCATGGTGGACTTGATATTTGGCCAAGCATATTGAACTCAAACTGTCGCAATACACCACTGCCTGATCATGATGTAAACCCGGATCACCAACCAGTCCCTTCAACCATATTCCCTCCTTAACAACTTCTCTCAACACTATATGTGTGTGAGGCATCCCACCGCCTACTTAAGGTGGAGGCACGCGTTGTGCTTATGTATGTATGAATGTATGTTTGTATGGTTGATGGTATGAGGAACCCCCAGGCGGTTGGGCCACTACTGGACGCAGTAGATGGTCGGATCACTGCTGGACAGCGAGACGTAACGCAGCAGTTGATCGAGTATATTGAGGTCACTACTGGACGGCGAGACGTAACGCAGTAGTTGACCGGGCATGGAATGGACGGCGAGACGTAACGCAGTGCCATTGCCAAGTTTGGGTATGCAACCGGACGGCGAGACGTGACGCGGTTGGCATACTAGGGTAGGACACCGGACGGCGAGACATAACGCGGTGGTCCTAGTGTTTTGTGTTGAGTTAAGGATAGAAGGCGAGAACTTCTATGAGTTGATGTTGAAATAAGTGATAACGATGTAATTGCACGTATTTGCGTCCCTAATTCTTATCCGTTTGAGAGGCATAGTCATGTATTTTGGCATATTTTACGCCGGTTTGTGCTATTTTGTCATATTTCAGGTCCCAGGCGTCAAAGGTAAGGCTAAGCACGAGTTTCGGGGCATTCGGAAGTCATTTCGTCGAGCTGGAGCCAAAACACGGGCACACCTAAAGCATTACACGGCCGTGTTCTCCCAAAGCACGGCCGTGTTCTCTCCAAAACACGGCCGTGTTCTGTGGCCGTGCTTTTACTGCCGAGAGCTAATTCGAGTTTGGCAAACATGAGCTGATTACACGGGCTGAAAGCACGACCGTGTTCTCCCAAAGCACGGCCGTGTTCTCTCCAAAGCACGGCCGTGTTTCTCCCAACACATGGCCGTGTAATTAACACTAGCCAAAGCACGGGCGGGCTGAGGCAAAGCACGGCCGTGCCCTCGACCGTGCTTTGGCCAGTGATGCCTTTTTAAGCAGATTTTCAGCCAAAGAGAAGGGGATTCGAGTTTTAGAGAGAGAGATCAGTTCCTAGAGAGAGAAAGCGACGAACAAGAGTCTCCAAGTGCCCTAGATTGATCTTCAACACCATTGGAGGCCAGCTTGAGCTTGGAGAAGTGCCGATCAACGTCCAGGAGCAGGAATCCATCCTTCACAGTATGAATTCCGCGTCTGATTCTGCTTTTGCTTCTTTCTCCATGGAGTAGTTCTCCCATTCATCTGGGTATGGAGAACCCTAGATTTGTATGTTAGGCTTTGATTGTATGAACCCAAGTACTGATTCTATGATTTGATTATATTCGATTGAGGTTTGAATGATTGAATGACTTGAATCCTGATCATATTCCTGTTGTTTCTGCTTTGACCTAGAATGAGAATATCTGCCTAGGTTGATAGAGCATCATGGATTGAAGGTAGGGAGTTGGTGACTTTAGTCGAGGAGCCAACTCACTATTCTGTACCGGATTTACTCCGGTAGTGGAGGTTTTGTTTGTTAAGGCCCCAATCTGTTTACTCCGGTGGAGGTTAGTCGCCCGCTAGAGACTTAGATTGAGAGGGTCTGAAGACCTTTAGTCGAGACTTCAGGCTGTTTAAGAACCTTCCGCAGTATAACTATCATAGAAACTGAACTTGGTAATTACAATCCGGCTTAACTGCAGTCTAGGGGGAACCATATCCGGGTGACCTCTCTTAACATGAATACAACAGTTTACTTGCTTTGTTTGTTTGGTAGTTTAGACTTGCATTCCAGTTTCATTGCTAGATAACAAGAATTCATTGAGTAGTCATCAGATCTAGGACCCGGGTTGACATATAAACCTAACCCGCTATACTACGCTTTAGGAAGTGGTTTCACTTGGCCAATTCCTAGGGTGACAGTAGAAGTGAGTCAAGTTTTTGGCGCCGTTGCCAGGGACGGCTAGGTTGTTGAAGAAAAGTGATTTCTATTAATTTAGCTTTTCTTTTTGCTTGTTTGCTTTGTCCCACTTGTGCCTTCACGGGTTTGTTTGCTTGAGTGTGTGCAGGTAGTGCATGACCCGTAGCCAGTCGGGAGGTTTACTACCGTTGAATCCAGAGATTGAACGCACCTGTCGCCAACTCAGGAGACAACAGCGAGCTAGACTGGCTACAGAAGAGCGCATAAACGGCCACCTGAGCAGCGATTCTGAAGAAGAGTACGGGATGGACGGAGAGTACAATCAACAACAGGGGAATACGCAGCAGGTTCCCCCGGTAAATCAGGTCCTGGGGAACAACCCCATACCCCAGGATCATGGAGCTCATCATCCACCGCAGCCGGGTCCCACCTTGGAGTACTACTACACTCCTCGGATTGCTGACATCCGCCCGGTCATCCTCTACCCGCCTATTCCAGCAAACAACTTCGAGATCAAGCCATGCTGGATTCAGCTCATTACATCCTCTATCCAATTCCATGGCTTGAAGGATGAGGAGGCCAGGGTACATCTCTCCCGTTTTCTGCAGCTGATGAACGGGTTCAAGCTGAATGGTGTCCCGGATGATGCAATCCGCCTTCATCTCTTCCCCCATTCTCTGGCGGGGAATGCTAAGAGGTGGTTGGAGACCCAGCCCCCATTGTCCATCACCTCTTGGGACGATCTGGCTGACAAGTTCGTGCACAGGTACTATCCGGCATCGAAGACTACAGAGATCCAGCGGGAGATCACTCACTTCCGCCAAGAGCCAGATGAGTCACTTCGTGATGCTTGGGAGCGGTACATGGGCTATTTCTGGCAGTGTCCCCATCATGGCTTCAGTGATGCATTCACAGTGGGGAACTTCTATAGTGCTCTCTCTCCAGATAGCCAGAGGGTGATTGAGTCTCTATGCCCAGGAGGGGATGTTCTCACTAAGACTCCACCCGAGCTGAACTAGATGATCAATACTTTGGCTGCCAGAGATCATTCTTGGGGGCAGAGCAGCCGAGGCAGACATTCTCGGGACCGTGGTGTGCACGCCATGGAGACCAGATCCGGGCTCGAGCAGCAGGTAGCTGAGCTAGTGCAGACATTGAAGCAGCCCAACAGTCTTATTCCGGGCATAGCTGTGGCTACACCTCCAGTAGCTCAATGTCAGTGGTGTGAGAGCTCCAATCACCTAGTGGAGGACTGCCAGGCTATGAGGGAGTCTACCACACCCCAGGAGCAGTTGGCCTACATCGCCAATGCGCGGCGCCTCGATCCATACAGTAACACATATAATGAGGGGTGGCGCCAGCATCCCAACTTCGGCTGGAGCAGCAACACCACTAAACCACTTGGTTTCCCAGCACCAGCAGGTGGTTTTCAGCAGAGGCAGCCCTTCCAGGCTCGACAGGGGCCAGCCCCGCAGCAGCAACCCTACCAACCTAGGTAGGGGCAACCATTCCAGCAGCCCCAGCACCAGTTCGCCGAGCCAGCAGCAGCCCCTGCCCCAGATGACCGGATGACAAAGCTGGAAAATATTCTAGCTTCATTCATGACTAGCACTCAGGCTGCTATCACGTCACTGGAGGCAGGTAAGAGGAACCAAGGTGCCATTTTGCAAGATCTGCAGAACCAGGTGGGTATCTTGGCCCGCCAGAACACTACTAGGGCACCGGGGACTTTGCCTGCCACCACTATTCCGAATCCTCGGGATCCTCACCAGCTCCTGCAGTTGGATGCCATTTTTACCAGGAGCGGTAAGACCATATCTGCTGATCCTGTCCCGGCCAGACAGGAGGAACCACTACCTACTTCAGCACTTCCAGCCGACGATGCAGAAGTGCGGGTGGAGAAGGAAGCTCCTGCTCCCAAGCCACAACTAGTGGTTAAGGAGCATGTACCCCAGCTTCCCTTCCCCACTCACCTACACAAAGACAAGCTGGAGACTGAGTTTGCCAAGTTTATGGCAATGTTGAAGCAACTCAACATCAGCATACCGTTCGTGGAGGCACTGTCGAAGATGCCCAAGTATGCCAAGTTCATGAAAGGCCTCCTCACCGACAAGAAGAAACTTGGGGATCTTTCGACAGTGTTGCTGAGCAAGGAGTGTTCTGCTATCCTGCAGAACAAGCTGCCCGAAAAGCGCAAGGATCCAGGGAGTTTTACTATCCCTCTTACTATTGGCAGCATGCATGTAGGCAAGTCCTTGGCGGACCTAGGCGCTAGCATAAACGTCATGCCATATAAGTTGTATAAAAAGCTAGACCTAGGTGAACTTAGCCCTACTAGGATGAGCATTTAGCTAGCTGATCGTTCCATTGTGCATCCTAGGGGAATCATAGAGGATCTGCTTGTTAGTGTTGGTGCATTCACATATCCTGTTGATTTTGTTATTCTTGATATACATGAGGATGTGGATGTGCCTTTGATTCTGGGTAGACCATTTCTTGCCACCGCCAAGGCACTTATTGATGTGCATGATGGTAAACTGATCTTGCGTGCTGGGAATGAACATGCTACTTTTTTGTGACTGAATTTGATCACTGTGCTATGATTGCTGTCACGCCTGTGCATGCCATTTCTGATCAGGTACACGAGCCTGTCGTGTACCCTTCTGCACCTCTTATTTTGCAGGACCCTCCTATTATTCCTTCGCCGCCACTCCATCCAGCCTCACCTCCGAACAAAAAGCTCAAGGAGGAGTGGCGGCCGAAGCAGCAGGTTGCTAAGCCTGCACGGAAGAAGAGTGGAGACCACTATGAGCTGGTCCCACCTCCGGCACCACGACCACCCTGGCCGTCTGGGTACTCACTCGCCTGCATCTTGCCGGATGGCCAGGTCGAGCTGACCGATGATGGTGGTCGCATCCGTCGGGTGCATGGCCACAACCTTAAGCTGTACCTCACGAGCGACGTGGATCCGCTCTTGAAGGCACCTGTTCCTGCACCGCCCTGAGTATCCACCATGGGCGTCCAGCTAAAAGTCGGTAAAGAAGCGCTTGTGGGGAGGCAACCCAACCACGGTTTGACTTTCATTCTTGTGTTTTGAGTCGGATTGTAACCCGGTTTGGGTTTGGTTTGTTTTCTTTTGTTTTGGTTGATGTATTATTGGGCTGACCATTGGACCTAACATATTGTGTTTGAGCTCTTTGGTTTCCTTTAGCTGTGCTTGTCTTGACTGGTCCTCTATCCAGTCTGCTTCACTCCGACTGGTCCGCTTCCAGTCCCCTGCAGTCCGTGCATACCGGTAACATCGTTCCCCTTTTCCTTCCCTCTTCTCCATTGAGGGCAATGTCGATCTTAAGTGTGGGGGATGTTTATCTTTTGACTGCATTAGATCTGTTTGTGTGCTTGGAGCCTAGTCCACTGTCCAAATTTTTAAATTTGAGGGCTCCAAGTACGTGTTCCTTGCAATTGCCTGCTCAGTATGCTTTGAATTGACAGTCTTTATAGTAATATGCAACCTAGGGAGGTAGTGTAGCACTATGGAGGATGTTGATGCATTTAAGAAGTCTCATTTCTTCTTCATATTGTGTTGGTTGATTGAGTGAATTAGTGATCTTAGGACCCTTGAATGGTGTGGTGTTGTGGATTTTCTACCTGTCATGGACTCGTGTATCATGTTTTGAAAATAACAGGTGCTCGAAAATGTGCTGAAAAATAACGTCTCCCGTGCGAATAGGGCGAAAGTGTGTAAGGGGAGACGGGAATTCATTCCCAATTTCCACCTACTACCTCCAGCCCCCTTACATGTCTTTCCCCCGCACGAGGCTCGAGACATCCGCTCCTGGCATGGCCGGTAAGAGCAGGTTGGGACCCTTGAACAGAATACAAGCAAAACAGAAAAAAAAGGGGTTCCAAACATCTTCAAGAAGAAAATAGAGCACCTTGAACAATGTGAGTCCATGATCTTTTGTTTTTGAGAATCTCTTCATCCACAATTCATTTGTCCTCTGTTCACTATTTGCCATGATGCCGACTCGATACTAGTACTCTCGCCGAAGAAGCTATGAGATGACTTGTGCGTCGGTTGACCTCGTAAGCTGCTAAATGATCTAGGAAGTCCTCTACCTACGATCTGGGTTGTTTGTTGCTATAGAGGTCTGGAGAGTTGCATTGGTTTGAGTTAGGTTTGCTTGGGGACAAGCAAACGGTTAAGTGTGGGGGAATTTGATAACGATGTAATTGCACGTATTTGCGTCCCTAATTCTTATCCGTTTGAGAGGCATAGTCGTGTATTTTGGCCTATTTTACGCCGGGTTGTGCTATTTTGTCATATTTCAGGTCCCAGGCGTCAAAGGGAAGGCTAAGCACGAGTTTCGGGGCATTCAGAAGTCATTTCGTCGAGCAGGAGCCAAAACACGGGCACACCTAAAGCATTACACGGCCGTGTTCTCCCAAAGCACGGCCGTGTTCTCTCCAAAACACGGCCGTGTTCTGTGGCCGTGCTTTTACTGCCGAGAGCTAATTCGAGTTTGGAAAACATGAGCTGATTACACGGGCTGAAAGCACGGCCGTGTTCTCCCAAAGCACGCCGTGTTCTCTCCAAAGCACGGCCGTGTTTCTCCCAACACATGGCCGTGTAATTAACACTAGCCAAAGCACGGGCGGGCTGAGGCAAAGCACGGTCGTGCCCTCGACCGTGCTTTGGCCAGTGATGCCTTTTTAAGAAGATTTTCAGCCAAAGAGAAGGGGATTCGAGTTTTAGAGAGAGAGATCAGTTCCTAGAGAGAGAAAGCGACGAACAAGAGTCTTCAAGTGCCCTAGATTGATCTTCAACACCATTGGAGGCCAGCTTGAGCTTGGAGAAGTGCCGATCAACGTCTAGGAGCAGGAATCCATCCTTCACAGTATGAATTCCGCGTCTGATTCTGCTTTTGCTTCTTTCTCCATGGAGTAGTTCTCCCATTCATCTGGGTATGGAGAACCCTAGATTTGTATGTTAGGCTTTGATTGTATGAACCCAAGTACTGATTCTATGATTTGATTATATTCGATTGAGGTTTGAATGATTGAATGACTTGAATCCTGATCAAATTCCTGTTGTTTATGCTTTGACCTAGAATGAGAATATCTGCCTAGGTTGATAGAGCATCCTTGATTGAAGGTAGGGAGTTGGTGACTTTAGTCGAGGAGCCAACTCACTATTCTGTACCGGATTTACTCCGGTAGTGGAGGTTTTGTTTGTTAAGGCCTCAATCTGTTTACTCCGGTGGAGGTTAGTCGCCCGCTAGAGACTCAGATTGAGAGGGTCTGAAGACCTTTAGTCGAGACTTCAGGCTGTTTAAGAACCTTCCGCAGTATAACTATCATAGAAACTAAACTTGGTAATTACAATCCGGCTTAACTGCAGTCTAGGGGGAATCATATCCGGGTGACCTCTCTTAACATGAATACAACAGTTTACTTGCTTTGTTTGTTTGGTAGTTTAGACTTGCATTCCAGTTTCATTGCTAGATAACAAGAATTCACTGAGTAGTCATCAGATCTAGGACCCGGGTTGACATATAAACCTAACCCGCTATACTACGCTTTAGGAAGTGGTTTCACTTGGCCAATTCCTAGGGTGACAGTAGAAGTGAGTCAATAAGATATTAAGGAAGCAAAGTATGAAGGATGAAAGTGAGAACGACTTTCATCTAAGGGAATGAAACGCTAATAACGTGTTTTAGTAAGGAGATTTCTTAGGCAAAGACCTTAGGAAGTAACGACGAGACTGACCCCTTTTCACTCACCAGGTGTGGAAAGGGGAAGAGGACGTAACCAGCACGAGGAGGTTAATCGAGGAGATCAACCGCGTCGAGCTTGAAGATGTCAGAAGGATCAGGGTAACGCGATGAGACTATCCTTCTTAACTTTTTTATTCATGTCTTTATGAGTATACTGGAAAACTCGAGATTGTGTTTTGAAGTGGTTATGATTGTAATTGCCCATGTACTTAGGGCCTTTCATTTGAAATTCTTAGTTAGTGTCAGTTTGATTTTCAAAAGGGTCGGGTTGCTCCGGAGTAACTAGTTTTGTTTTTTTTAGTTCTAGTTTTGGTTTCAAAAGGGTCGGGTTGTTTCATTTTGGTATCAGAGCCTGGTTTTCCTCTGTTTCTTGGCTTCTAAGAAATACTGGAATGATGATCTTGGTTTTCAAAGGTTAAGTTTTAACGGGGAAAGGGAATTTTATGAAGAAAAAAAATGGTTGGCCAACCGATTTTAAGAGGTTCATAGAGTTTCCAGTATACGCAAGCATGATAAGAAAAATAAATATGGTTTTAATAAGGGTACTACTTAGTTGAAGAGCAAGTAACGCGCATGTTAATCTCGTGGCGGCTAAGAAACCCACGGATTACATAGCTTTCCGGAGGAGAGGAGTAGTGGACTTTGATGGGGACCGCTCGACGGATGCAAGTGAAGTGGAGAAATGGCTGGCAAAGGTCACGCGCACATTAACCAAAATGAGGGAAGATGATGAGGATAGGGCACTACTGACGATATCCCTACTACAAGATGCGACATACAATTGGTGGACCACCCAACCGGCCAGCCGAGTGGACCCACCAGCTATCACCTGGCCAGAGCTGGTGCGGATATTTCGTGATCATTTTGTGCCCGAGGCCTACCGTCTCGGGAAGCAGAGGGAGTTGATTTTGATTAAGCAGAGGTGGAGAAATGAAGGAAAAGACGGCATTGCGGAGTACACTTCTCGGTTTGAGAAGCTACTGCCCTACGGAGGACGCCAATTCCAAGGGGAGGCTGCCCAGCGTGCCCATTATTTAGAAAGTCTGAAGCCTACCCTCAAGAAGCAGTTGAGCATGCTGATATGGAATAACAGGGTGGAAATCTATAAGGCGGCCCTTCGAATAGAAAGAGCTGAGACAACTTTGCATGAGGAAGGGATGTTGAAAGATAGTAGCAAGAGGAATGCGAGTAGCATGCCTGAGGGATCTGGTCAGTCTACTCAGTTGAGGAGGAGGCCGAGTGGCACCTTTAATTTTGGGGGTACTTAGAGTCAGAGCGGCTCGGTTCAACCTAGTCAAACCTTCAGCTACAGGGTTCCCTGCAACCAGTGCGGGCGAAATCACTCAAGGGAGTGTAGGCAGCCCCTCAGGGTCTGCTACTACTGCAACGAGCCAGGCCATTTTGCTAGAGAGTGCCCTAGGAGAGGAGAGCAAGAGAGGGCACAGTCCGAACAATCAGTCCGGGGTGGAGGAGTAAGAATCCAAACCGGACAACAGTTTAGGAACCAGTCCAATCGATTTAACAACAACTTTGGGAGGCGTTTTAGTGGAGGCAACAACCCCCATAGTGGTCGCGAGCAGGGAGAAGCATCGGGAGCTAGTGTGCAACCTAGAGTGTTTGCTATGGAAGGGCTGGATGGCAGCCGTGGAGACGATGGAAGGGAGGACGAAGCACGTTGATGAGGTTATGTGGCACATGGGAGACTAGGAGAAATAAGTATATGCTTTTGGCATAGGTCGTTAGTTGGTTGTTTACGTTGTAATCACACTTTCAGTTTTAGTACTCGGAAATTCAATAATAGTCCCTGCGACTAAGTTAAGTTCCACCAAACCTTACAACTAAGTTCAGGTCAAAATTTCGAGGTCGAAATTTTTCTTAAGGGGGATGGAAATGTTATATCCCAACTAGAATTGTTCCTTCGTACAAATAATTGCGCTACAGTTCAAATTTCGGGGACGAAATTTTTGTAAAGGTGAAGGAAATGTTACACCCTCAACATTTAGATCTAGGTTCGACCGTACGATTCAATTGACGGTTACATACAAAGGGTTCAACCATACATTAGAGATAATAATAATAATAATAATAATAATAATAATAATAATAACTATGATTATTATTATCATCATCAAAAACACCATCACCCGCCCATTCCCCTCGAGAGCAACGCTAGTCCACTCCTCGTCATCAACATCTACCTCGTCTTTCCTAGACCGAAGCTCGACTTCCCTACTCATCGAAAGCGAACCACCAGAGCGAGAGCAGCTGGCAGCATCGCGACCTTCTTCCTCGCGCAACGTCGGCGACGGGAATGCAGAGTAGGTCGTCACAGAGACGCTCGACGACATCGTCTTCTCTTGACATTAAGGGGTAAGGTTCTCCGTCTCAAAAATCCTTAAGCTCGTTTTAGGACTCGACTAACCCGGCGAATCATGTAGTGAAGTAGCTCCAACGGCGACCCCGACATACTCGACCTCAATAAAGCCTCGAAAACTTGGTACCATCTCATAGAGGGCTATCTCAGGAACACCCCGGTTCCGACGGAATCGAGTTTCGACGTTGGACAAGGGAGATACGAGCCTCGAAAGTTTGGGATGCAAATCGGATAGTTCAGGTACCAAATTTGTCCATTCGAAAAGTATAAGGACCTAGAGAGTAATTTCATTTCAGTCTGTGGAAAAATGACCTTGTTAGTCCCTCATATTTTTGGTACGAGCAGCTTAGTCCCCAATGTTTTAAACATATAGAATTGGTCGAGAATAATATTTTCTCACAATTTTTATTATTATTATTTTTGTTGTGTACAGTGGGTATTTTCAAAGGATGATAATTTTATAAATAAGATAAAACTAATAGAAGTCTGGGATATTAATTCAAGAATTTTTAAGGATAAGTTTCAAATTATAAAAATTATTAGGAAGACGAATTTAGTTAAATAAAATAGTGTTCGAATAGCTTTTCTGGTTTTGATAATTTTATACGAAGACTTATATTTTTATGTTTTTCCAGGAATTGTTGGGTGATTTTTCCTGTTGATTTGATAATTACAAAAAAAATTATTTGTTGCTCTTTTTAATTAATTTAATTACTGTATGTATATCTTTTATGACTTTGTTAATTTTGTGCAAGACTAGAATATTGAATTTGTGTAGCGGAATTAAGAACCAGAAATTTAGACATTTGTAGCATAAGTTTAAAAATTATTTAATAAATAAAAATTATTTATTATAAATTATTTATAATTTATTATTTTGGTTAATGTTTTTAAGTTATGAGAAGTCAGAATTTGTAGTTTGAAGGTTAAAGAATTTTTGGAAAATTCATGAGAATTTTTATAAGATTTATGGAAAGGATGATTTAATTAGTTAAGATGAGTTAAGGTCTTTTTAAAGAATTTTGGGAATAAGCTAGGAGAACGGAAAATTTTGCGGAATAGCGACTATGGGAAATTCATCTCGATTTATAGGATCAAGGAGGCGATCAAATTAAGGGACTCCACGTCAAAGGAAGTAAAGTATCGGCACTTGAGGGGTGAGTGTAAAGGGCGTAAAATCTCCGTCGAGGTCTTTTAGTTTATGTCTTTTAAGTTTTAATTCAGTTATGTTTGTTATTTTTCAAGTAAGCGCGATAATGTGTGTGAGGCATCCCACCACCTAATTAAGGTGGAGGCACGCGTTGTGCTTATGTATGTATGAATGTACGTTTGTATGGTTGATGGTATGAGGAACCCCCGGGCGGTTGGGCCACTACTGGACGCAGTAGATGGCCGGATCACTGCTGGCCGGCGAGACGTAACGCAGCAGTTGATCGAGAATATTGGGATCACTATTGGACGGGGAGACGTAACGCAGTAGTTGACCGGGCATGGACTGGACGGCGAGACGTAACGCAGTGCCATTGCCGAGTTTGGGTATGCAACCGGACGGCGACACGTAACGCGGTGGTCCTAGTGTTTTGTGTTGAGTTAAGGATAGAAGGCGAGAACTTGTATGAGTTGATGTTGAAATAAGATATTAAGGAAGCAAAGTATGAAGGATGAAAGTGAGAACGACTTTTATCTGAGGGAATGATACGCTAATAATGTGTTTTAGTAAGGAGATTTCTTAGGCAAAGACCTTAGGAAGTAACGACGAGACTGACCCCTTCTCACTCATCAGGTGTGGAAAGGGGAAGAGGACGTAACCAGCACGAGGAGGTTAATCGAGGAGATCAACCGCGTCGAACTTGAAGATGTCAGAAGGATCAGGGTAACGCGATGAGACTATCCTTCTTAACTGTTCTTTTTCATCTCTTTATGAGTATACTGGAAAACTCGAGATTGTGATTTTAAGTGGTTATGATTGTAATTTCCCAAGTACTTAGGGCTTTTCATTTGAAATTTTTAGTTAGTGTCTGTTTGATTTTCAAAATGTGGTTTGGGTTGATCTGGAGTAACCGGTTTTGTTTTTTTTTTTAGTTCTGGTTTTGTTTTCAAATGGGTCGGGTTGTTTCAAGGATCATTGATTCAGAGTAGATAGTTCTTATCTTATGTTTTTCTCCCTTTTGGGAGTTAAAATATTGGCAGGTTGCTGCCTGGTATTTTTTCGACTCTTGCAAGTTTTTGCAAATAGAATGCTTCAATGAGTACTACTAATTACCCGAAAAAAGCGTACTATGGTAGTATGAACATACCAAGACTGTAGAATGGTTGAATACATGATAGTATGAGTATACTAATTGTCATTTACGACTTTCAACATTGTGTACCACAAGATACCATCCCATTCCAGGGTGGTATTGTGTGGTATTTTTTTTGCACTGTATTTTGCGCACCCAAAATTTGCAGGTCCAATAAATCATGATGAACTCGTTCATTTTGTGCAAAAAATTTAAAAAACGACTTAAAAACAATGAAAATACCATATGGTATGCAGTTGGGAACGAGAAGCGTCAATTTTTTTTCCTCAAAAAATATTGAAAATGGATCTCATTTTGTAGATCACAACGAACGCGTTCCATTTATGCAAAAAAATTGAAATCCGAGTTAACACAAAAAAGATATGAGCCGATTAAGAAAACAAAAAAAATTAAAAATGTCTTTAATTGTTCACTATAGATCTGGATTTTCTGAATAAAGGCACCTATTTAATTATTAATCTATGCATAACCATGAAAACTCAAAGTTCAATTTTTGAAAGACAAGAGTACACATGCCAAAACCAAAACATTTCCCCAAGCATGCCACGTTAATCTTCCCTCTTGTGTGGTTGGTTATGCATGCATTTAATAACTCAAGTCTGCAACCCACGGGATTACTTAAAAGCTCACATCAAAGACTAATTTATATCATGCAAGACTGAATTAACCTGAAGTTGATGGTTAATCTAGACAGTACAATTACCGATCTACTCTATTAACCTACCTACACAATGTTGCATATTTATAATTTATGCATGTTTGCATGTATCCTTCTCTCTACTACCACCCGGTCTAGTAAGCATTACCACTATGAAGAAGGAAGGATTACCTTGTATAATTGAGGCTCCCCTTGCTAATCCCACCATATGGAGTTCATCTTCTATTTAAGGATAGTGATCCATGAGAGCTAGACTGAATTATGCTTGTGTTTATAGTGGGTAAACAAAACCTCCGAGAGATAAATATGGTGGTGGTGGATGTTTAGATTCGTCACCCCCTTCCTTCCCTTCATTTCTAGCCAAATATACTAGTATTGGCGCCCCTCTCATTGCCACTTCCTTATCTTTGTTCAGTGAATGGTTCCTTTTTGAATATGGTGATACATACACGTGTGAGGCTTGACCGTTTGGTTGGAAATGAGGCATTTTGCATGCATCATAGAAGTAGAAGTAAAGTGGTTTGGGTGGAGACAATATAATTTATTTCCCATGTTAACTCTTACCCATATTGAGGGGCGTAGCCAGGATTTTATTGAGGATGGGTCCATTTAGAAAAAAATACATACGAGAAAATAATTTTGTTAGCTTTCTAAACCGTTCATGATATAATTTTGTATTTGCAAAAACTTGGAAAATTAAATTATATGTCAAAACTATCAAGAATATCACCATATATGTATCAAACAATTATTTATGATTTAGTTAGACATTTGCTTTTGAATCGTGTTCTTCGTCAAGACCGTTTAGTATCATTAACTCGAGTTGTTAAGAAATATTTAATAATGAATCTAATACTATTTAGGAGAAATTTTACAATGTTATATAGTATTGGTGCTATAGAATTTTGCCTTTATGGTACAACTTAAAATTGTACGTTTACGTTATGGTACAACTTCAGATTGTACCTATACTTTTTGTACAAATTCTTTTATGGTACAACTTGAACTTGTACCTTTATGTGATGGTACAACTTCAAGTAGTAAAGTTGAACCATAACATAAAGGTACAAATTGCTTTATGGTACAACTTTAAGTTGTACATTAAAGCACCAATACTATATAGTATAGTAGAAGTGCTCTACTATTTAGTATTTACTAACACTTTCCTGCTTACTACAACCAACTTATGCGTGCTTAAAGTTTACGTAAATCCGAATATCATGTGTTTAACAAATGGGGTTACAAAGATTCGTACAAATGATATCTCGGTCAGCCATTCTCAATTAGAAGTGCCCTAAATTTCATTCTCAATTAACTATTATACTAATTTACTCATTTTCGTCCTTAGGAAACACCTGTTACAATCTCCCTACCCCAGATTGAAATAAAATTATTT